ATAAAATTCTTTCTTAGCCTAAACTTATAAATTCGTTTGTATCTGGCGCATGTCAAACCCATTTGCAGCTTAAAAGTCAAACAGGGATTGACACTTACTAAATTGGCTTGCCATTAAGTCTTATGATCGCCTTCGTATGAAATTGTTTTTTTTTGTTGTTGTCGTTTTACTAGTCCGCGTTTCACTAGTCCGCGTTTTACTAGTCCACGTTTTACTAGTCCTCGCTTTACTAGTCCGCGTTTTAGTAGTCCAGTCCAGTCCAGTCCAGTCCACGCAATACCATATGCCTAGCTGAAGAGAGGTTGCATGGCGTCATCGCGTTGGAATTTCTCGTGGCGTTAAAAGACAAAAGGAAGTTAGCAGAAGGAAGTCGTCCAGAAGAATTTCAAGAATTCTTTCTTTACCAGGTGTCCAAAACACCACCATCCTTCTATGAAATGCACGGCTCACAGATCAGCGAAAGAAATTGACTTTGGGAAAATATATAGCCATGCGAAAGCGAAACTGCCACGTAAACACTGGACTTTAATTCTTATTGAAAAAATCGCGTTTACGATCCTCCACTATTGATTTACCAGTCTGGTATAGGTTATGCGTGTGCCTTTTGAGTCGACTTGTGCACCATCAGTTTTCCTTTGTATAATTACCAGATTTATCTATCCTTCTTTTGTCATTGATGTTATCAGACGAGATCACAGAATTTCCGTTCCTTGGCCCTTGACTTTAGCCGCAAATATGGAATTCACAAGCGCTATCGCAATTTTATCGTTTGTACGTTTACTATATGAAATCATTTTTGGTACAATCGTACCAAAGCAATATTCTCTCAGGTCTCTCGCTAACACAGACCTCGAAAACGCAGACCGCAGACCGCACACCTCGAAAAACGTGTTTTCAGTGTGTAATTACCAGATTTCTCTCTCTTCCTTTTGTCATTGATGTTATCAGACGAGTTCTCGGAATTTCCGTTATGCGAAAGCGAAACTGCCACGTAAACACTGAAATTTAATTTATATTTAAAATACTGCGTTCACGATCCTCCACTGTTGAAGTATCCGTGTGCCTTTTGAGTCGACTTGTGTGTGCACTATCAGTTGCTTCACGTTTTCCTTTGTGTATACAGTATGTTATTACTGAATTTATCTATCTTCCTTTTGTCAGTGATCTTATCAGACGAAATCACAAAATTTCGCACTACACCCAAATACCTAGTTAAACAATAGAGTATTTCTGTCGAGGAACTATCGGCTGATAGTTGCCCCTATGCCGTTGGTGATGACAAGAAAATTTGTCTAAGGTCGCTTGTGCTTTAGGCCTTAAGTGAAGAAAGGTTTGCTGGGTCACGCGTGTGGGAAGTTATCGTGGCGTGAAAAGACAAAGAATTACATTTCCCTTCGAAGGCCAATTTTTAAAACGCTAGAGAGCTGAAAATTTGCCATTTGCTGAGGAACCTGCTAAAAAAGGAATTCTTGAAATTCTTCGGGACGGCTTCCTTCTGCTAACTCCTTTTGTCTTTTAACGCCACGAGAAATTCCCACGCGATGACCCCATACAACCTCTCTTCAGCTAGTGTTACTCGAGATCTAAAATGTATTGGTGGACGAAGAAAAGCTCTTATTAAAGGGCTCGCAACTAGGGCTTGCTCTTACGCTAGTCTAAGTTTGGAGCTGTGGCTGAACGTCGTTATATTTTGAGAAGCGTGGAAAGGTTCCCATGATTTTCTCACGCTTATAAGCATATGTTTCATTAAAAACATGGAGACGTGACCACGAAACGTATGTTCCAATTGTTTATTGCAATGTGGTAGGTCAACTTCGTTTTTACATGCTGTGCGACCGTTATGCCGCGAATAAAACTCATGGCAAATTTAGCACAACAAAAGATAAATAAACAGGTTTACAACGCAGCTACCTTTCATGTATAATGGTTCATAATTGTTGATAACACTTAGTAAAGGAAAAAAATCAACACTTAGTTTTAGTCATGTGCGTTATCGTCTTGGGAATGAATGAGCCAAGTGCTTGAATGTCTTCGTAAAAACTTCGTGCAACATGTCCTGCTACATCCGTTCCAGGTTTTAGGATTTGGGGTCATATTCTGTTATTCCGTCACTCCATCATTCCATCATTCCGTCTTTCCGTCATTCCATCGTTCTTGATTTTAGGATTTGGGGTCATATTCCGTCATTCCGGCATTCCGTCGTTCCTGGTTTTAGAGTCGCCCACGGCAATCGCCCACTCATGTTGATCAACGATGAGTATGCAAATACCGCGAGTTTTCGTATAAAATGTCAGGCAACAGAATCCATCGTTAGTTTTCGTCCATCAGCCAGGTATAAACGTTCTCTCACGAGCAAAGATGGCAGAACTCAGTATTGGACTCGGGAGAGTTCTGCTCGGATTAGGAAATATTGGAGCAGGCGTTGGGTTTGGCGTCGCCGAGAAAGGAAAAATGAACGAATTAAACAGCAAAGCGAAAAAGCTTAAAGAGGATGTGACCAAAGCCAGCGATCTCTACGATAATGTGTTTTATCGGGTGGCTGTTAATCTGGACCGCGTGAAGAAAGCCCTCGACAAACTGCCCAGCGACTTCTTAGACATGGTCGACGAGCTAATCGCTAAGGATACTTCAGCTTCTAATGCTGAACAGGCTGTGATAACTTTGGGGAAAGTATTTGGCTACACTAAAAACACTTTGAAAGTGGCGTCCGGATTACTTCAGATTGTCCGCTACTGTCGTCAAAGTAAGGCTAATGGTGATGAACCCACTACTGAACCTGTCGCAGATCCTTTTGAAGCCGTGCCATTGAATAATGAGGAACCACCAGTGGTCCCCGAGGCCGAAAGTTCGTTTTCCAGCACTCCCACGCTCGATAAAATCATTACAGGTCTCAACATCGCTGGTATTGTGTTTGGACTGGCTGGCCTTGCCACTACAATTGGACTGGGAGTCTGGACACTAGATAATTTAGATAAAGCAATTGCTGACGTCGACAAAAAGCAGAAGCAAATAACAGAGTACCAGACGGCTATGATGACAGCTATGATTCAGATCGCCGGGGAGGCAGGTGTACCACCGAATAGTTACACTGAACTGACATCCTTAGCTGCTACATGGGAAGAGATTTCTGCCGAGTTTGACAGCTACCAGAAAGTCCTAAACTATGCAGTCCAAGGATATTTCCAGGATAAGCCACTTAGAGACATCAAGGCAAAGGTTAAAGCTGAAAGCGACCTAGGGACATCATTCCCAGGTGATGGGTATCCCCTCGCCAAGACCTTAGCAGATGACATCAGGCAGTTGTTCCAACAGGGCAAGATAGACAAAGAGATCGTTAGTTATTTTGCAAATGATAATCCAAGTATAGGTCAAAGGTTTGTGTTCGAGGAATATTTCATAAGTACATTGCGAATGTGATGAAGCAAAACCTTTAGAATGAATTTAAGGTTTGCCGACAGAATGTCAATACATCAAAATTAGAAACGCTTTGGTGTTAAATGCTTATTGCTATTGTCAGCTTGATTTGTAAGAAAGAGTTTATACCTAGTTTGTGAGCGAGTTACTTCGACTGAATGAGTTATTCAAGACTTTTTGTCATGTACAATTCTTGGTTATCGTCCAAAAGTCTCAAGTTTGTGAATTTACTAAAACTCAGCACTTTTACTTCGAATATCGAGACGTAGTTGATGCGCATGATGATTAATAAATACTGTCATGACAGGTGTTAAAAAGAATAAAAGGAGATTTGAAAAACAGACGTGTATTCACTCAGTACTATTTGTAGAAGAGGAATCTTTATATTACCAACGAAAAAAGTCAAATGCCGATTAAGCAAATAATATTCTATTTTGTGAATTATTTCAATTGTCCTTGCTCATGACACTACTTTGGCTTTAACAAACTTTAAAAATTGTCAGTTGGTGCGACTTTCGTGAGGTATATCACAAGAAAATTTCCTTTCTGGGTTGTATCCACTCGAGATTTAGAACTCATTAATAACCCTTTCACTCCCGTGAGTAACCAAGACAGAATTTCTCCTTACAATATCAATACAATATCAATACAATATCAATACATATATCTTATTAACCAAGCGCGAGGGCCGTACAGGGAGAATATCGGCCCGAGGTCTTGACAGTACGGACCGAGCGCAGCGAGGTCCGTACAAAAAAGACCGAGGGCCGATATTCTTCCAGTGCGATCTCGAGCAAGCTTGGTTAATAAGAGATTTATTATACGACTGAAGTTCAAAGGGACACAAGTGCGGTATCATTCGGGACCATTCGGGACAGTGCCCGGTCCAATACTTAGAGAATATTGGACCGGCAATAGAGCATTTTGATTGGTTGATTTTAGTTATTGGCCCTCTGACTGCCCGAGTCGTGTAATAAAA